TATTTTGAATTATGTAGCTAGTTTTGCACATTTAGATAAATTGTATCTAATTTCCTGACTGTAATTTAAATTTTAAATTACAGCGTGTTATGGTTTGATCCTAGAAATTGCCAAAAACCATTTTAAGACACCCAAATATAAATCTTATTATTTGTATATTAGCATTGGGAAATATAACAAATCAATATAATAATTAGCAATGCAAACATTCAAAAAAGAAATAAAGAAAAGAAACTAGCGTTGCCCGGTGTTTTGTACTGAGTCCTCGGCAATCGTCTGTTTGTCGAGTGTATTTTGTGGACCAAATTGAAATCAATGTAGTCATGATATATACTGATCACAACTATAGAACATTATAGGCCTAGATGCTAGTGTTGACGTATAATGTGCTCCTTAGTCTCTTCCATCAGATCGGTCTTTTGGTTGCATTGGCTAGAGCATGCACTTCTACATGGTATCAGAGCCAAAAAGTCTTGAGTTCAAGACCCGGCTGGCGCAATTAAAATTGCAGCCCACTTTCGGTCCACGTTTAGGCCTGAGGGAGCCACACGTGAGGGGGAGTGTTGACGTATAATGTGCTCCCTAGTCTCTTCCTTCAGATCAGTGTTTTGGTTGCATTGGCTAGAGCATGCACTTCTACAGCTAGTGTTGAACAAATTAGCAGTTCCCTAACGACAGGAGTAATAATAGTATAGAAACAAACAGAACCATGTTAACACTAATAGTAAACCCTAGAACTAATCATGGTTAGTGGTTCGAGTCACTTTAATTGTACCTAACCATGATTAGAGTAGGTAGTTGAGCCCGGCTAGAAGTACTAGTCTGAATTAGTTAGTAAATAGTAATAATGGTATTGAGCTATCTTCCCTGAATGTAAGCAACCGAGAAGATGAAGGCATGTGGTCGTCTATTATATATTAATAGAAGGGTTAGGCGTGCTTTGCTGCGCCGTTGATGTTTTGGGTTTCTAAAAATCAGTACTCACTTTCTTTCAAAATATAAGGTGTATTACTTTTTGAAAAGTCAAACCTTTAGTTTGATCAAATTTGTAGAGAAATATATCACAATGCATAATATCAAATCTGGTATGATTAGACTCGTCATGAAATGAATTTCCATACTTTTTTGCTCTATATTGTGGATGTTGATATTTTTTGTTCTGAACTTGGTCGAAGTTGGAAAACTTGATTTTCCAAAAAAAAAAAACTGATACCCCTTATAGTTTGGAAATGACGGAATATTTAGTTTGGAGGGTGCGGGAAAAGATGGTCTGTGTTTTATTTTTATTTATAATGTGATGATTTGATGAGATTTTTGTGGTGTGGTTCCGTGTTATCCACTAACCAATGTACATTTATGTGGGGAAATTTCTGCATCGGTGACTTCATGTACTATATTTTTTTGTTGAGAAATATGTACTATATTGGTGCTATAGTATCACATGGTGATGCTCCTTTTCTCTAGGTGGTGGGAAGGAGCGTGGGATTAATGTATTTTTATGCCGGTTGCTGCTGATTAATTTAAAAAATCATTTGCCTAGTCAAAATCGTAAACCAAATCCAAAATTGAATACCTCAATTGAATGTAAGAACTTCAAAATGGGAACACGGGGAATTAAAAGAATTGAATCGGAGGGTCCTTGAAAAATTGTTGACCCGGTCAAAATCAGGCTGAACAAATTCTAAATTGAAGACCTCAATTAATTATGAGTTAAAAATTAGGACACATATGTATAGTATAAAAGTATTGAATGAGATAGCTTTGAGAAAGTTGACCCGGTCAAAATCGGGTGACCCAATTCTAGTTGGAGACTATAATTGAATTTGAGGTCTTGAAAATTAGGGAGCATGGTGTTATAGAGGATCTCTATCGTGGTAGGTTAGACTTGTCATCCAGCTACAACATTGACCATGACTTTTCACACATATATGCCAATGAAACTTCTAAATTATGCATTTTGAAGTTGTTTTACCACGTGGCAGTATAATATGGCAGCGTTATGAAACATCAAAGATTTATTTGTTGACTGTTGAACTATATCATGCTGTCCTTACTTTACGATATTTCATGGAAAAGTAACTTCAGAAAAGATTATTACATACACTACCGGAATTCGATACTTTGTCTACTGTATGGTTTTTTGTCGAATTAGTTTTACCAGGAACTCATCAACTGAGCTGTTTGTCAAGTCCTAGTAAGCTACACTTGTAAAGAAAAGAAAATCACTCGCCAAAGATGGAAAAAAGTAATGGACAAAGATAAACACTCGGCAAAGAACAACGCTCGGAAAAGGTGGTGGTCCCGTGTCCCAGCCCGCCCTGGATTACAGAAAGGAGACGCGCAGCCTATTTGCCGAGTGTCCCTGACACACACTCGACGAAGGTCGACTTATTTCCGCCGCCTCATTTTGATAACAAAGTTCATGATAAAGTTTCCATATTTGTTACTTAGATGCATCTTACCAAGACAAATAATATCGCCAAAATGAGTTTCTAACTTTTCTGTTACAAAATAATCTTCTTCTTTTTCATTTTCTAAGTGTCAAAATTGGTTTTCTGAGGCAGCTTCAAAAATATATTGGAAAGAGACAGTTCTCCAATTTTCTTACCAGGTATACCATATTCGATGGAAAATTCCCAAATAGTTTGAATTTTCTAACTTTCTACCTAGTTTCACGCATTTTAATGAATTTTGACTGATTTTCTAAAAATAATTCGAATTTGAAATACAAGTGTGTGATAGTTTGCTCCAAAATTTTCCCAAAACCCATTTTAAGGTACCAAAATAGGTTTTATGCAATTGACGAAGGGTGTAGAACGATTCAAGCCACTACTGTAGAAAGATGTGCCGGCCATATTGGCCCGGTTTTGCAAAAATATCAAAGAGAATTGCTGCAAGGGAATCCGCCCGATGGATGTCACCAACAGTTTTTGGGGATCGCTATCTGGCCCCCGGAAACCAGTTGCGAAAGAGCATCTCTTGCAAAACTCCTTTACAGTTCACGGAAAAACGGTTTTAGGGGCGGGTGCGGGCGTCGACCGAGCAGACCCCACATAGCGGAACTGTAAAATGGAATATTCCACTTTACAGTTCCGCTATGCGGGGTCTGCTCGGCCGGCGCCCGCGCCCGCCGGCCCCACATATCAAACGCGGTTTTATCTAAATTTGACACATATGCCACATATAAGAAAAAATGTCAATATTACAATACAACATCCAAATTACAATAATTATTCAAATCACCGAAGCAAACTAAATAATTCAATACAAAACTTGTCCCGAATACAAATCATACATGAATTAAATGAAAATGAATGAAAAAACAGGAATGTGTTACTGCCCAACCCTTTGCCAATGGTGCCCATGAGATCCTCTTGAAGCTGAAAGTAGGGGTTTGCATTTTCAATCTCCCTGTAGGTCTGAAGAAAACCTACGCACTAACTCAATTGTAGTATCTTCACCAATGCGAAGGTACTCGTCGGCATAGTCAGCCGGAATGCCGTATGCAATTACCTGCATAGCTGCCGAGATTTTTTGATATGCACTAAATCCCTTTAAGCCCGCGACATTTCTTCTTTGAGTAAAATAGCAAAAATTGACCCGCAAGCTTGAACTATTTTTACAAAGAGGGATCACCGCATTCGGTACCTTCTCCGGAAGAGGTGCGGCTGATATGTTGGATTGTCCGCGAAGTAATCTTGCATCAACATCTCATTCCCGAGATAGCGATTTCATGGAATGCAAAGACGGCCGACGGTCGATACTCGCCGTCTCTTTTGGTTCTCATCTTCGTACTCCTTGACGGCGAGGGCCATCACCAATGTCTGCTAGCGATAGTTGACAAGCAGCGTCTCAACATCAGATCGTCCGAATCGGACGAATCCTCGAGCAAAAACATCTCGCACGGGCTCAATTCCATCTAAATTAACAAATACGCACGCCGCGTTAACCAATTATGCGTACCGCTCGGCACAAGCACAAGTACGAGTACTCACCGGTGGCTCGGGGCGGTGGCTCTGCGGCGGTGGATCCCGGGGCGGCGGCGACGACTAGGGGAGGCTCGGGGCGGTGGATCCCGGGGCGGCTCGGATCGGCAGATCCGGGGAGCCGATGAAGCGGCTAGGTGGATCAGAGGAGGGGCGCCCCTGCGGGGCGATTTCGCCCGCAGATTTAGCCGGAATAGCCGGCGGCGGACGGGCGGAACCAATGGTGGGCGGGCGGCGGAAGGGGGTGGGGAAAGGGCGCTGGCTGAAATGTCCCTCCCGCCAACCGCTTTCCTGGGATACGGGGCACCGTCGGGGCGAGGCGGAAACCTGTGTTTTCGCGGGTTGGGGATGTGATTTTACCGCGCCCCTTAAAAAATTTTATGGGTCGGACGCGTTTGCGGGGTCTGATCGGGCAACATTTTTCACGCGAGCCAGTATTTTGGCGGTTATTATGCAGGTTGGGGCATCATACGGGGTCAACTAGAGATGCTCTAAGTCTATGAATAAAATCAGACCAGCAGCCATTTGTAATCATTAGGCATGTCCCACAAGAAGGCCCAGCTAAGTGGTCATACGCTATAACTTTAAGACAACCGCCACCAGAATTTTTCTTTTTAGTTCATGAATGATCTCATGTAACCCAAGTTCTCCATCATGGATGAATCTACCTTTGATGAAGGCCGTCCGGGAAGAGAAGATGTCCGGTGCGCTACCGGGTAAATGCGGTTAGCAAACGCTTTTGAAATAAGTTTAAATAGACGATGATCCGGTGCGCTACAGGGCAGAACTGTTTGATCGAATCCGTACCCTATCCTTGGGTATGACTATGATTGATAGAATGGCGAAGTTTGCATTGCATTGGATTTGCGTCAATCTGTACGACTTGGACTGAAACTGAGCGTTCCAACTTTATTTCTTCAGGTAATAGGACATTTTATATTTCATGAGAACAGACGACATAATAAAGGAGGAATATTTGGTCGGTGTGTCCCTGAACATGAGTCCTAGCTGTAATCAATCCAAGGAGTGACAGGTCAGCTGGAATGCCGTGACGTGATCATGTGCTACGGTCATGTAGACGTCGACGCCGCCCTTGGCCACGCACGAGGGCACGAAGACCATCAGCCCCTCGACCGGCAAATCGGGCGGCTGGAACGCGGCGGGTGGCCCGCCGCCGAAGTCAACTTGGTGGAAGCTGAACCCCAGCCAGCTGTCCACCTCCATGTTCGGGCAGGACATCATGCCGGCTGTGCCCGTGAGCTCCTCCCCGTGCGCGTCAGCTACGGCCCCGAAGTCCACGAACGACCGGATGTACTCGCCGTTGATGCGTGCCACGGCGTCGCGAATGGCGCCGACCACGCCGCCGTAGCTCCAGCCAAGGACGTCCCGGACCTGGAGCCTCGGGAACGCCCAGAGCACCATGTTGCCAAAGAAGTCCATGGGCATGGGAGGGTCGGCCCTGCCCCTGCAGTTCACGGCCACCCTCACCTGCGTGAACTCCTCGGGCGCGAGGCCGCGTGCCGCCGTGGTCCTCTTCCACAGGTGAGCGAGCAGGCACTGGAACGTGCTGCAGCGGGCGCCTACGAGGGCATTGAGCTCGGCGATGAACTCGGCGGTGAAGTGCACCGTGATATTCTTGAACTTGAACAAGGGGGCGGCCGGATCTTCTCCCTTGAACTCGGTGCACCGGTGGTCGAACACTGGCGCGGGCACGCTCCGTGGTACGGCGGTGATCCCGCGGTTGAGGAAAGCGGACGGCGCGGTGAAGTCGAAGCCCTGGCGAACCGCGGTCGCCCAGGTGGTGAGGAAGGTGCTCATGGAGTGGCCGTCGGCGGCGTGGTGGTGGGAGGAAAGGCCGATGGCTAGGCCGCCGCACTTGTACCGGTTTAGCTTGATCTGGAGCAGCGCCACGTCGAAGTGCTCCTATAAATAGCGCATGCATAATTGCAGATAGATCAGGTTAACTGCATCCGGTAGCACGTGCAAACAAACCGATGCTAGCTGTAATTAGTATTACCTCCGGTAGCGGCCGCGGAGGGTACAGACCCTCGGAGTTGGCGACGACGCTGCCGTTGGCCAAAACGCTCGACAGATCGACGGGGACGGCGGCCTCTACGACAAGTACGCCCTCGTCGTTGATGTGGAGGCAACGCCTGCCCCGGTGGTCGACGGCCAGGCGTCCTGCCAGGTGAGGGTACAGAGCGACGGCCCGGCGCAGGCCCTCCTTGAGCGCCTCGTTGGACGGAGCTGGCGCGGGGTACGCGAGAATGATGGGAATGAAGATGTCGAAGGTGGCGCGGTCGAAGAGCGTCAGTGGGACCATCTCGCCGGCGAGAGGGTGCGGCGTGGGGTAAAACGGCTTCAGCATCATGCTGCTCCGGCTTGTCATCTCCATTTCGAATTGCCCGTAGGTAGTGAACGCATGCATGTACATACATATAGAGCAGCAGCGACCAAAAAAAAAACAATATTCTGCGGGCCAAGATCCCCTTCCACAACAAACAAAATAAATTTGTTCAAATTAGTAAGGGCGTCTTCAACGGCAACCCGTAAATTGCCCCTGCATCCATCTGCGGACAAGGGGATAAGTCTGCGAACACGGACGCGGGAGGATGTCATCCAGCCCTAGCCGCATACATCTGGCCAACC